GATAAACACATTTAGATTGAATGGTAACTTATAATCAGTCACAAGAACGTCGAATCTGAATCACTTGAAAAAAAACACGGGGGTGCTTAACTTTTTTCCAGGTGTATACATAGTACTTTCTCAACAGCTACAACCTACAAATGTAGCCATAAACATCATGTTTATAAAATACACAGTACTTTCTTAACAGTTACAACCTATAAATGTAACAGTGAAATTATGTTTATCCAGTACACAGCACTGTCTCATGTACTTTAATACCTAAGTTTTCATCAACAAAATTACTCCCCCACTGAAAATAATCAAAACTTTGATCAGGATCAAACTTCCAACAAGTGGAGTAGACAATTGTTTCCAACCTCAGAAATGATCGATTCTGAAACATGTAACAACTTACCTTTGTTTTTTCTTAAGAATCAAAATATACAAATTCTGATGGAATCACTGCATAACAGTCAACATCTTTCCTTTCAGTAGAATATTATTTTAATAAAGAAGTAACATGAAACAACAAGCATATATATCATTAAAAATTACCATAAATATTACTCTAAATGCAGCCCTCCATCGTTTCAAGCAGGTATCACAGTGAAAAACAGAATTATCCAACACTAAATTAGCCTCAACTGCATATTTAAAGTGATATATATGCTACACAAAATGTGTCTTACTATGTGTTAGTGTTTTCATTTTTATAATATATCAATAAAACCATTATTCTAGAAAAGAGATACAATTGAACAATGTATCACGATAACAATAACTGTAGTGTTGTTATTGTTAGTTATTTCAAAATCTTTCCTATTTGCTATATTCATGACTGTATCATGACAGTGATAGTCCTATTGTTAATTTTGGTTATTTCAAAACCGTACCTATTTACCTTATTAGTCAACAGTGTATCATGATAGTGACTGTAGTGTAGCAATAGTTGGTTGATGCTAGTTACATTTCTTGTATCAGTATATATATGTTTTTATATATCGTAAAAGCTACTTTCACTTTATAACTTGCTTGAAGGAAATCCAGTCTCAGCTAAAGCTTGCTTTAAAGTGGTCAACACAAAACTGACATTCTGTGGCTTACAGTTATTTCCCATCAAACCAATTCTCCAGACCTTGCCAGCTGTAGGCCCAAGTCCACCAGCTATTTCTAAGCTATACCTAAAAAAAACATAGACTTATATTACTTGAAACTGGTCTTTTCACATATTTAACAAAAAATTTACTAAAAATCCTTCTATTCTAAGCCTTTACATAAAAAACTTCTGATATCTTCAATTCTTGTTTAGTATTTTGTATACATTTGTAATATTTAAAATAAATTTATCAAAACCATCAACAACTCTACAGTTTTTCAATATAATGTCATGTAAACTTAAGCCTAAAAAAAATTCCGAGGAGAGTTAAAAGAAAAAACTTACTCTTTCATACAAAAATCTGTCACCTTCTTTCCACTAATATGAGATGGAATTTTTACAGTTGTCACAGTTGGCAATCTATTCTCCTGAAAATATAACAAAATATTTCATACAGAATGATATGAGCAAAATAGGCCTAAAAATCACAGTACACATATAAACACAAAACTCAAATAAATGGAAAAGTTTAAATTCTGTGATTACTATTATTATATGTTTTATAAATATATAAATATATATATCTAGGTGTCATTTATATTTTTTGCTAATTCAAAGTATTCCTCATAGTTTTCCCCATACAAACCACAGTGAATTCAACTAGCTACTCAACAATGGCCACAGCTAGCTCGCATACTAATTACCATAATATTAATATTTTCATTAGGTCAAACTGATAGAGTTTAATCACAATGTTGAGAACTATTATTAACCTGTATGTATACTAACATGCCCTTGATATAGGCTTAAGCTAAAATACTCGACGCTTAAAAAGTTTAACCTAATTTTCACAGAATTAGGGATTAATGGCTCAGCTTTGATGCTACATGACCAATTAATAATTAATGGTACAAGTCATTCATCATAAAAAAATTGGGAAGTCTCTTAAAATCTTATTAATACAGCAAAGCAATAATGTTAAATGTGCTAATCAAAGGGCCACCAACTGGTTGATGGACTATGATAGCCTCATTAGAATGATCAATTACATTGGAAAAAGTTCAAAAATTGTATTTTTACTCTTGAAGCCAATTACTCCCAAACCTTACTGATCATTAATGAGTTTCTAGAAAATGTTCAAAAATTGTATTTTTCCTCTTGAAGGCAATTACTCCCAAACCTTACTGATCATTAATGAGTTTCTAGAAAATGTTCAAAAATTGTATTTTTACTCTTGAAGCCAATTACTCCCAAACCTTACTGATCATTAATGAGTTTCTAGAAAATGTTCAAAAATTGTATTTTTACTCTTGAAGCCAATTACTCCCAAACCTTACTGATCATTAATGAGTTTCTAAAAAATGTTCAAAACAAAATAATTTTAATGTTCTTGAACACATGCAAAAAACAAACAAAAAACACTCATTATATGTCTGAACAATATTTTGCATTTGGGTGTATAATTTAAAATTTAACGTTGCACATATATTATTTAAATAATCTACAGCCCCCCTCCCAAAAAAAAACACAACCTTTTTCTTGACAAGTAACTCCAATCCTAAGTTTTCTAATCCTTCATACAACAATTCGGCACATTGTTGGTGACGTTGCCAACAGTGTTCTAGTCCTTCTTCTACTATCTGAGCTAGAGCTTCTCGTAAAGTATATAATCCAGTGATAGGGGCTGTGTGGTGGTATCTAAAGTTAAACATTTATAACAGTTATGATGGAATAGTATTCACAAAGAAAACTGTAATTTCTTATACTCAGTTATTACAACTACAAACAAAAAAAAGGGAAATTTTTTTGAAAGTATTATATCAATTTCACTTTTTTTCCCTTTTCAATTCTTCCTAATGAAATAAAAAGATAAAATTGAAGTTCTAGGACTATGTTATTATAGTCAACATTGCACTAATAAATCAGAGAAAGATAGGGTGAAACATTAAACACTGACTACCTAATGTACACGATAGCACAAGATAAAAACCAACCAAAACTCTCAATATTTAAATAAAATAACAAAGTGGTGTATCATGCATAAAATGCTTAGATAATAATACAGTTTCTGGACCAACATGTATTGAAATTAACGTTTTATGTTGTGATGATTTGCTTAAAAAACAGAGAACAAAATATGTTTTCCATAACAGAAAACTAAGTTTAAAGCAAAAATAAAGAAAATTAATAAAATAGGTTATATATCAAATTATGGTAAGAGAATTGTAAGATCGACTGAAAATAAAATTCCACTCAGTAAAGTTTGGACTAAGTGTCTTATCTTGAGACTAAGAACACTGTTCAACTCAGTGGCATATGGTCCTATGAGTATATTACATACAACAAATTACAGAGGCAAACATTTAGCATGATAAGGAAATTAAACCTGAAAACAATTCCAAAAATCAACTTGTCATTGTTATGTTAACGTTTCACATGTTGTATTGGGAGAATGTATAGTTGTTTGAGTAAACTTTACATACGCTACCCATTCTGAAAGTATAGTTTGTTTGTAATTGTAATTAAGCACAAAGCTACACAATGGGCTATCTGTGCTGTGCCCACCATGGGTATCGAAACCCGGTTTCTAGCGTTGGAAGTCCGCAGACATACTGCTGTGCCACTGGGGGGCGAAAGTATAGTAATCCAGTTTCTTCAGATTGGATCACTTGCTGATAGTTTTAGTTTTGATTTTTGTTTTTCTATAAATGTCAGCCAATTTTGTCTTTTGTTGTTGACACCAAGTGTCTGACTGAAAGATAGGTTATCATCAGAGCCATTGACATATTGGAAACCAGAAAAACACAGACAGATTAAATTGCACTTCATTTTGTGGTATCCTTGTTCAAAATGAGAATGATATGTGTTCATTACCAAACAACTGACCTGTACACTAAACAGCCTCAACAAAGACACAAACGGTGAAATATGGTACAGACAGACAGAAAGTTTCTTCCCATTTTTTTCAGAATAAAAAAAGAACTGCATTTTCAACTTGGTATAAATATTTGTTATATGCATATGTATGTAAACATTTTCATGTACCCCTCATGTGATAAAAGGTTAGCAGACATGGCTGATGTAGTGTGGCCAACATTTTGCTTAATTCACAGGTTCTTAGAAACACTTCTGCAAAAATAATGGGAAATTTAAATAATAAAATAGTTAAAATAGGAAGCTATGAATCAAAAACACACTAAAAAGTAGGTAATGTTTCTCTTGAAATTAAATATAATTGGGCGACAATTTACAGTGATAAAAACAGTGAATTTTTATATTGGTATCGTAAACTTATCTGTGGATGATTTTTGCATCAATAGATTATGAATAGATAAATTTCTATGTTAGTGAAATAAAGGTATTCTTTTAACCTAATATTAATTTCTCTAGCAGGTTCAGCTGCATACAAGCCCATGCCATCTTTAGTATATCAGTTTTATAAATAGAATCTGTATAAATACATGTTGGATATTTATTGAAAAGCAGTGTAATACTTTGTGAGCTGGCTTAAAAGTAGAATGTACACACTAAATATTTATACTGTTTAGTTTCTCTGAATATTTTTTTTATGGTATTGAGGTTTAAGATACACAGGGAATACAGCAATAAATCAGTTTAGTTTAGCTTGAAATCAGAATTATTTTGTTTTGACACATGATGTAATTAATTATTTTATCAACTAAATGTTCAGGAAAACCATTATCTCATACGAAACAAAATTTAAAGTGGTTAATTTCATTCTTGAGGTATTCATTACCATTACAAATAATGGCAATAAGAAATGAGGAGACAAACACTAAAGTGTATCTTAGCACTTCTTTGGATATGACAAATAACTTCAAAGCTTACAAAGCTCTTGTTCTTTTGGGTCGTGCTCAGAAGTTAACTAAGTATTTATTATTATTAGTAAATTCATTCATATAAAACAAGTAACTGTGAAAAACCAGAAGATCTAAAAGAGTACTGTTGTAATTTATTATTGTCAAAGAACACACCACTAGGGACTGTTATATGTAACTTTACACAACTTACAGAATTAAATATTTTAACACAATAAACAGGGTTATCATCTATTTTTGATATAGGTTGCAAGTTTTATACACAACAAAAGGTTGTATGACATTAATTATCTTATTCATTTGCATAAAAATATATAATAATTTTCTTTTAATAACATCTGACAACACTAACATGCCAGATGTTTCTTGTGTGTGTGTGTGTGTGTGCAGAGCTGACCCAAGGCAGTTTCAAATGGCTCGCAAAAAATTTTAGGAATGCAAAATTTATAAAAATTTAGAAAATATACTAACAAGCAAAGAGAAAAGGGATATTTGTAGTGAGTTTGTGTGCGGAACATAAGTTAATATTATATCAATTACTATAAAATTTACCTTGTATTCTGTTTTTAAAATAGTATTAGAAATGTTAGTAGTTACTTCAGACTACAGTCCTACAGAAAAAGGTCTTCAAACAAGGACATTGCAATTTCATGATAGACAATAAAATGTTGAATCATTATTTAGAAAATGATATTTGACTTACCCTATCATCAAATATAATGAATTAGATAATTATCACCAGACAAAATGACACAGCAGAGTGACTAACCAACATTACATTAAAATATACTACTAATTTACATAGCTAAACAGCATGGTTTGTTCCCACAGGCAAGTTATGAGTTTAAACTAAAGGTGGATGGTACTATATTAAGGATTGTGTGCTTGTTTACCACAATCTACTCATACAACTAGACAACTTCCTCCTTAATCATATCAATTCTCTGGAAGGTACTATGAAGTTGGCATCAGCCCTGATCCGATCCATTACAATGTTGTTCCATGCTAATCGTGTATTGGCCTTGTACAAAGTTTCCTTGTATTCTGTTATTCATACATTGACAGAGTATTTTACAGTTGCATGTCTACCATGCCTCCTTTCTTGAAAATGAATTGTCAACTTTACTGATTCTATCAATAGTATTGTAAGAAATTTTCCAATATGTTAAGGAAATATAATTTTAAAAAATTATTTCAATACCGAAACTTCTTGAGAACCTATTAACTAGACTCATCATTTTTACTTTTAGCTATGCAGCTAATATCAGTGTATAAGATATAGAGCTATTACTGACAGATATTGTTATCATTGCATTTAGTGAGATAGAAGAAATAGACTCAAATAGCAAACTTCATGTGTAATAACAAAAAGAACTCCGATATAAAATTGCTGAAACAATTATTCACCACAGTTACTTAATTAAATGTATAATGTATTTTCCTCCAGGTGAAGATTACAACTGATGAAAGTTCCTCTTTCATATAGATGAGTAAAATTAAGGAAAAGCCTTACCTTTCTGGATTGCAATTATGTGGCCCCATTTTATATATGTTGAAAATTCCATCAACAGCTCTGCTGTAAAAACATGTTTCATTGATATTAAAGATTGTGTGCTTGCATACCACAATCTACTCATACAACTAGACAACTTCCTTCTTAATCATATCAATTCTCTTGAAATTAAGATTCTGAAAAATCTTGATTTCTTTCCTTGCAAAAAACATTAAGTTATGTTATCTGTCAGCTTCTCAATGTTGAATTAAACATAAATATTTAACAAAGTTTCTTTGGGGAGGTCCAGCTATCCCGTATTTTGAACCTCTGTAATAAAGTACTGAGAAATCCTCCATGTACTTGCATTCAACATGAACTTATCATTCAGACTCCGGTTGATTTTGAATAATGTTGATGAATTTGGAATTACAGTCTTTATAGAAACACCAGTTATCTTGACGTAGTGTTTTCCTCTACTACAGTTATAAGTCATCATATCCTTACATTGGTGTTCATTTGTTTTTACTGTCCGTACATGTGGTACAGAAGTCATGTACCTATGATTGTGCACGTAAGTATGATTTTTGCCAGACATTTGTTTTTACTGTCCGTACATGTGGTACAGAAGTCATGTACCTATGATTGTGCACGGAAGTATGATTTTTGTCATGACATTTGTTTTTTACTGTCCATACATGTGGTATAGAAATCATGTACCTATGATTGTGCACGTAAGTATGATTTTTGTCATGACATTTGTTTTTTACTGTCCGTACATGTGGTACAGAAATCATATACCTGTGATTGTGCACGTAAGTATGATTTTTGGCATTACATTTGCATGAAATAATGTGTGGGTGAAGTTGTTCACTCTTCTAATGTTAATGTTACATTGAAATATATTCACTGGTTAGAAGACAGATTTTAACAAGTACTTTTTTCAAGCTGCATTGAATCATCTGTAATCTTCAATGTAGTATTGATCAGTGGTGAAAGACCAGTTTTAGCTCTTATTTAATGGCCTTTACAACAACTTAATTATTTAATCATTAAATAATTTTTGATTATATTATTACTACTATTGCCAGTTTAGTTTAGTGGTATTTTTAATTTTGTATTTTAATATTTTTTTTTATAATTTGTATTTATTTTATATTTCTCTGTATGTGTGTGTGCGTGTATATGCATATATATATTAGTTATTATATCTAGGCTCAGTATTTTTAGAACTAATGTTCTTTAGTCATAGTAAAAATATAATAGATAACCTAAAAGTATTTCTTACTATGTTTCACCGTATAAAAGTGAAAAATTAAACCCAAAACACGAGTTTACAGATACTGTAAGATGCTTGTTTAAAGTTTTAAATCTTCTAAGTAA